TGTATTTGTCAGATGAATATTTGTTAGCAGATTCAGCGTACATCCCCACCAAGTCTGTAGTCCCATCCTACAAAGGCCAGGCCGCCGAAGTTGAGAGAAACAAAGACTTCAACTGGTGTGTAGCGAAGTCTTGAGTTCGGAATGAGCATTGTATTGGTATCCTCAAGTCTCGCTGGGCCTCATTGCAGGGGTTAAGACTCAGTTTAAATAGTTGCAGTGATATGCATAACATCCTGCGTTGGGTTCGTTGTTGCATCATCTTACATAATATGTTGGCCGATTTGGGCAACAATTGGAATGAAGAAGATCAAGACATCATTTTGCGGGAACCGGGAGACATAGGACTTAATTGACAAGGACTCGCTGTGCCCGATTTGGACATCATCGAAAGGGGCAGAGCCAGACGTGAATCAGTTCGCAATCACGCAGTGGCCTACAACTGGCAGAGCGGCGGGCTCCCAATCGTGTCATGAGATTTTTTCTTTCTTTCAAATTGTGTCATGCGATTTTTTTTCTTTCTTCAATTCTCAATTCAAAAGTGTTCGATTCAATGTCTATTTTTTCAAATGTTTTAGTGTTTGTTTCAATGCTTTACGCTGTCTTTCTATTTCTGGCACTTGTGTAGCGCAATCTTTGGTTTGATGTAATTCATACTGATTTTTAAATGACAATTACAAACTTGTTAAGACATATCAAGATGATTCCAAATGAGACAATTACTCCAAATAAGACTCACAATAAGACTCACAATGGAAGCAGGGTGAGAAGGCTTGAATCTCGAGCTTCGCTGGAATCTCTCACTTTGGCCTATGTTCGATGAGGCCTCTCAACCTCTCATGTGTTTCAAACTCTCATGTGTTTCCACTGTCAACCTCGGATTTGTCTCTAGTTGAGAACAAATTTTTAAAAAGAACTTCATACTTATATCATTGCGAATCACTTAGAAGATAAAATTCGAGAACTTAGAAGCAAGATAACTAAAATAGTTGAAGGATCCACTGAGACTAAGATGATTCCAAATAAGACGATTATTCTGAATAAGATTCACAATAGGACTCACAATGGAAGCGGGGTGAGAAGGCTTGAATCTCGAGCTTTGCTGGAATCTCTCACTTCGGCCTATGTTTGATGAGGCCTCTCAAGCTCTCATGTGTTTCAAACTCTCATGTGTTTCCACTGTCAACCTCGGATTTGTCTCTAGTTGAAAACAAATTTTTAAAAAGAACTTCATACTTATATCATTGCAAATCACTTAGAAGATAAAATTCGAGAACTTAGAAGCAAGATAACTAAAATAGTTGAAGGATCCACTGAGACGACACGACAAACCCCTAATAAGAGAGAGGGGAAGATATAAAGGTGAAGATATAGATGATACATAGCACAAGAAAAAGGGGCGGAACAGCACCAAAAACAGAAACAGAAAACACAAGAACAGAAGCCAGGAATTTGAGATATAGTTTGAGATGACATGATCGATGCAGTCTGTTCATGAGGTTCACGGAAAGGAGAGATTCAGCGCTGAGTCAGCCTTCCGGGTCAATCAGTTAAGGTCCAAACTGGGTGACTTGCACTGCTTAGCCAAAACTTAAACAAGTAGGTTGTCAGGGTAAATCAGGCGCAGGAAGGCCTCCAACTCCTCGGGACTCTTACCCTCCAAAACAAGCCTTTGGCAGAATGCCTGGCGCTCTTTGCGCGTCTCTTGCGCTAATCTTCTTGAGTCACTTTCACATTGTTCCTGACGCTCCAAAAAGTACTGCTCTTTGGTCCAGGTGAGGGCAGATTTCCGATCTTTCATCTCGGCCTGCAGTCTGGCGTCTTCTGCTTTCATTCGGGTTTTGTCAAATTGTTGACGCCAAGTGGTAGCTTTTGTGATAACATCCATTCGGGCGTCATTGGATTGTTGAATGGCTATAGCAAGTGCTTGTTTTTGATCCTTCACGTGCACGTTGGAGGGATCAATTGAGGGCAGTGGGTCCAGAGGGCGACGCAAGAGGTTACCTTTAGCACCAGTTTGACGCTTCGCAGGGGCCAAGGTCGAAGCCATCACATCCTCATCTAAACTAGGGTCCAAGTCACGCTCCTCTTGAGTGAGAGCATATTTGTTCCATACTTTCCTCTTTTGCTTTGGAGGGGGCCAAAGAGGCGCTGAAATTGTAACCGGGCGTTTTTTAACTGTGCCAGGAACTGAAATGGAATCGATTCTGCCTTTGGGAGAAGGCAGTGGCAAACTGAAGTCATTCTGTAGGTTTGAAAATTCAATTTCAAAAGGAATTTGGTCGCGTTTAGAGCTTAATGATTTGCCAGGACGAGGAGTTGGGGAGATTGGACGCGTGTTGAATAGCTCTTCATAAGCTTCAAGCTCTTCAACATCTGGACTCGGGAAAGTGCAATTATTTCCAGTCAAGCCTGAACAGAGACCGGCAAACCAAAAAAAAATCCAAGCAGTCATCAGGATTTTTGTTCGAAAATAGAATGTCAAACAAATAATTTGAAAAGATCAAACCAGGTTGCAGGCCTGAGTGGTCATGTCCGTCGGTGGTGCCACCGTCACTGTTGTCATTTCTTTTACAAGAGTTAGTGCCCAAAAATTTGTCTTGAGATTCATCGTCAGACTGAGGGCCCAGGCCAGAGTCGAGGATACCGAACGGGTTGACGTTGCCCTTGTCTTGAAACAAAGCATCCATCTCGGGGTAGCAGGGACACATCGACTCCAGAAGAGCTTCCATTGTGTGAATCCCACGAGCATGGTGTTTAAGCTCTAAGCCTGCGCCGGTCTTTAAGCTGTGGGCTTTTGCAGATTGGTACTTAGCCTTGTACCTCCGGAGTCGGAGAAGCAACGTTCAACTGGTCAGGTGCATATCGGTCGTGTTGTGACGTTCATTGTAGTTGTTATTCAATTTGATAGCTAGAGTGTTCAAGAGTGTTTTCGGGTTTATTGGCAGACCAGTGACTTTTGTCTGGCTCCCACCGCCAAAGAGAGAGTTGAGGACATTCGGCTTGGCAAGGTACGTAATGATGGTCTGATAGTCCACAGGGTCAAAAGGTGGGCTTTCCTGGGTTGACCGTTTGCTGTTCGCAGGTGTTGCACTTGATTCAGCCCGTTTCTTTGCGGCAAGACAAGAGCGTTTCACAGCGGCGGCACTTGCTTTGGATCCAACAACATGACCAGATAAGGCCAAGTCTGCCGCTATCTGAGCTTTTGTTTGACGGGGGCGACGCGTACCGTTCTCCAATGGTTTTGGCGAGGTTGCTGGTACAGTACGCATTTCGTTAATGAGGGAGAATAGTCTAAAGCGAACTGGTAATTATGCAACAGAGATCCAAGTCAGTTTATTTGGTTCATCTTAAAGGAAAAAAGAAATCATTGACAGGGAAAATTCCTATGAGAGTGATAGAAGAGAAGAAAGTATGGCAAGACCAAAGATAGAGGAAATATGAGCGAAAAGATGGAACGATTTAGCTTATGTAGGAAACATCCAAGAGATATCCAGGGTTGTTTGAACATCGTTTGGCCATTCGAGTTATGCGCGTGGCAAACAAAGATATCCGTGATGTCGATCAATCAAGAGCCTTCCAAACAGATGATGAACTCAAAAGTGCTGTTAAACAAGCGCTGTTAACCCAAATCCCCTTTGTAAAACCTCAAATGAAACCCAACATGATGCTGACAGACCTGATACAATAACAGTCGCCTCCGTTACCCGCTTGCCATCGGAATCCTGAAGTGAGTGCCAAATTGATGACGTTGTGGTAATCCAAATGTTTGCGCCAAGACCAAGATATATTCAGAAATAACTCAATCAATCAATCAAGCAATTCAGAAAGAAACTGAGAATAATAAAATATTCATTTCAAGTGTCCTTTAAGGTCACCACCTATCAATAAAATTGATTATCATCTTCAATTTCTCCAACTCAATCAATCTACTTCAATTATTTAAACCTGTCAAACTCTTCTAAAAATAACAAAACAACAGCACCTCAAAAAAACAAAAGAACTCTATAATTAAATCAATTTAAAAATTCACTGATAGAACTTCAACTCATCATCATTCAATGTTAATCTCTTCCACTTCAGTTTCTATCTCATCTTAAAGTATTTATTTACTTTTGTTGAATTATAAACAATTTATTTCAAAACATTTAAACTTGAGAAAAGTACATAACTCAAAACAAAAACAAACTATATACAAACATTTGAATTTTCCAATCAATCATCTTCTTCTCCTTCAACAACTTCACTAACTTCAAGTGGCTTCTCATTTATGTTCACTTTCACCTATGTTTAAAATTGAAAAATCAAATTTAATCCAAAGGAGGCTACAATCAAATGAAGCTAGACAAAAAACTATATAGAAATGTTAGAAGAGATCAATGAATGAATCAGAAGAAGCATTGTGAAGGACTTACCACAGGATCAAAAAATCGATTTTTTGATTTGATGGCAATTGATGAAATGGGTGGTGACAGGTCAACAGTAATAGATTATTTGATCAATTGAGAAGTTTCCAATGCTTGATTTGACTCGGACCGACCTAAAAGAACATAGAAACAACTCAGGATAGGTCTTAAGAAGAGGTTAGAAGATGGGAATGATAAAAGCAAAAAATCGAACTTACAATAGGTTTGATTAGGTTTGAAGGAGTTGGGTATAAAAGGGATGTTTTGATTGTTGTGTGTGTGAAAGTTTTTGTCTGATAGATTGAGAGCATCGGAGCCTCGGCGAAGCAAGGTGGAAAGTGCGGAACAAGTGGAAACTGCGGAAAATACAGGGTCAGTACAGGATACGTACAGGGGGGACCGTAGTTAGCACTTTTGTCTCAGCATCCGAAAGCAGAAAGCTATTTGAAGCTATGACCAATGCGGAATAACCCAATCACACGTCTCATCCAGCAAAAAAATCAAGATGAAGGATCTCAAAAAATCAACAAGTCGGTATACGGCTGGTCTCTCATCGTATCGATCTCCCTCCTGGTTCGATCTCCCTCACTGCTCGCGATGTCTGGACAGATCCATATATCAAGTCCAGCCAAATTGTACATCACCAATCGACATTGTCGACGGGTCCATCCCCTCCCAACACCCGTCGTTGGCCATCTCACTGGACTCACCTGTCCAGATTGCCCGCTCACGTCGACTAGTCAGCTACGATACCACCCGCCTCGCTTCCCAAACCCAGCAAACATCAACTGGAAGGTATGTTCAAATCATCTTTAACATTACTCTTTATACCGTTGTTCTATGGCTAAGGATTCTTACCTCTAGTGTCATCAACCCGACTCTCACCACGTCCACGGAAAGGGATATGTTCGAACTCTCAAACTCGAACACTTGATCAACAAAATTCGAGCTATCAATGCAGGAGCTCAACCACCTCCAGCTCCTGGAAGCCTCTCTGGGCTACTTAACGTCAGCAATGAAGAACCCGATCACTTGAAGAGGAAAACTACGAGTCAATTGTGCCCAGGGTATCTAGGGAGAACTGGGGCCACGCATCAGTCAACCAACAAGTCGAACATGAAGTGTAGCCTCCGGTTGTGTCTTTTGGTAAGGGTCTTTTTATCTTCATCCAAAACAAATCAGACTTACTCACCTCTGGTGGATGCATATGTATGTAGTGCTGCCAAATGGTCCAACGAGTGCACGGTTTGACGTGCAACTTCAAGGCACACGTTTACACGCCTTTGTCTTCTGGAGATCACGACATGTCAAGCCCTGCGATTAGAAATTTTGTACCTTTCGGCCTTTCGAATGTATTGGATCAAGGTTCTTCTCAACATGTATCCCAATCATTGGTTTCATTTCCACGGTCCTCCCAATCCTTAGCCGGACCAAGCGGGTCACAGCAAGCAACTTCGAAGCAGATCCAGTCTGCCCAAGCTAATCGGGCAGTGACGTCTACCCTAACACCTTCTCAGCTCTCCGAATACCACGAAAATCTTAAGGCCGTTGATCTTGTAGCAAAGAGTCGGGATGCCGCAAAAAGGGAGGCTGCGCGCACAATCTGGGTTGAGTTATGGACTAAGGTGCGTAGAGACTGTTACACTCAAATCGAACTGACCCTTACTAATACACTGATGGTTTAACAAATTTCCAGCCGGGCTCTAGCACACTTATCAACGCTGAAGCGCCCAATTGGCCACTGTTTTCACTCCAAGAGTGTCAAATACTACTGGATAAATGCAGGAAAGCGATGAGCGACAAAGAAGACTGGGAGTCGGAGATCGAGGTGTGGAACATGGAACAATTCCGTTGGGTATGTTGTTCTGACTTTCAGTTCACTTTCATTCTGATCATCATGACGATCAACTCTAAGTCATCAAAATGGTCACTTCCTTCCTAATGATAGGTTTCTCTAGCACCTACATGCACTTCGAAGTATCCACCAATCCCGCGAAAAATCCTAGTTCAACTTGAATCTATCTCCGATAACGATTGCTTGGGGCTTTCAGATGCGATTTTGAAGATGACCACCGAGGGACCCTATGAGCCACTTACTACACCAGCGCGTTGCATCCTCACCGTCTCACCGAACCCGCCAAAAATCTCATATTCAAGCTTGAATATGAGATTACCAGCACCAGTCCCGGCAGTCCCTCGTGTTCAACTAGATGTACATACATCTACGGAACCGGCAACACCTGAAAGTTCGCCACTACCATCACCTCGCACGATCTGCTTGAAAAAAAAGACGATAAACTCCAAAGACTCCGAGATCGAATGGATAGGTTCCTCTGACTTGCAGGTCAAGGTATGTGTAATGTGGGTTTACCTTCATTGTGAACTGTTTGCTTATTAGGTTTCTCTCGCAATTGCAGAATCCAAGAAGGGCCAAGAGTACTTGGCCAGATTCGAGGGTATCCTTACGCCAAACCCTCCGATGGCATCAATCTTATGATGGTTAAGGTAGTCCATGGGTTGCCTGGGTCGAATTCTTTGGAGAGTTGTATGATTATGGTCATACAACTGTGTATCGAGTCAAAAAGTGGATTAACCTGGTGGGAGAAGAACAGTTGGAGCTTGATACTCGCACGACCCCTTCGCTTACACTCATTGCAGCTCGGAAGATGTATCAGAAAGAGTGGCTGGCAACCAAAACCAAGCGCCAAGATCAAGAACTTCAACCAAAGCAAAAACGAGAAGTTGAAGATGTTCAACAGCAGGATTCAAAAAGAAGAAAGGTCGTTGTTGATGACAACGCGCGCTCTGATGTACAATCAGACGGTGACTCGGATGTTCAAATTATGAACAATTGAATTAGCTCTTCCCAATGTTCCACTGCTTTGTTTTGATTACCCCGATGGATCATCATCATTTGTAATTAATGTCTAAGTTGTTACATCTGTTAGCTTGAGGTTCAAAGGTTGATCGATAATTGAACAACAAATGCGATCAACTTTGCAAAGGAATGCTAACATTGGTAATCATATGAGACTGTGAGCATAACACATTAAGATTGAGACACCCAAACGTGAAAATATCCCGTTAAGTAAGAGATCGAAACGTGAGAATAACAACACCTAAACAATATCTTTATTTAATTAAAGAACGAAAGATCTCTATTGGATTAAAGAAAGAAACATTAGATTTTCCAAAGGGAACAAAAGAGATCGAATATGTAATAACTTTCTCTATCGAATATGTGATAACCTTCTCTTAATCAAAAAGTGATGGTACCAATATGTGATATGTTTTTCCTTTGCGATAACTTTTCACATATCCAGATGTTATGAAGCCGAACCATTTCATCTAGGAAGAAATTGAATTCGATGGCGGTCATGTTTCGACAAATGGAGGCAAAACCTCCATACCAAATGTTCGCAATTTCAGCTGCCGATGAGTTGAAAATCCAAGAACCTTCCTTTTTCAACTGAGGATACAGATTTGGATCTGTCCATTTCCTACAAAAACAGTCATTTTCTTTGTGCGACTTGAAATGGAACGCGTCAACAGCCACTATGGACTCGGTGAATTGATCGCGCTCTTCAGCATTCGACTTGTATATATGTGCTAATAACTTGCAAGCATTATCATATAAAATCACTTGAGGCATGCGGTTTGGAAAGGTATCTAGAAGGAAAAGCTGATTATGAAAGATTAATCAGTAAGTTACTCTTACTCAAAATGAAATTACGCAGAAGAGGTCTACTTTGACGGCACTTGGTGACTCCGAATTGAACATCGTTTGGCGGGCAAGTATGACCCCACAAGGAGCCACCACAAGTTGATTGCACTGTAAACATCATTCAACTTCCCCAATTTGGCAGAGGAAAATGATTAATAGTACAGTTTTTCATAAAAGAATCTAATACTGCACACCTGGGCCATTTCACCCACACTACATATGTGCAGCAAGCTAAGTCAATAGTTGTCTATCATGTACATACAGGTCTGCTCAGTTTTTTGCCCATCAGAATAAATAAATCACATGTTATACCACATGTAACTTTTTCGACTTTGAAATTTTTTTCCCAAAAATTCACTACATATAATTCTGTAGCTGCTCAGGCAATATTGTTGAAGCTATGTCTTAGTAACAGAAAGTGTGTTACATGCAGTTGAGTTGATGAGATCACACCAAAACATTGAGTCAGTGTATGTAGTCAATCTTTTGGAAGCTTTTTTCAATCTGAAAGAAGTTACAGCATGTATTACATATGAATAACTTGTCCTGATGAGCAGATAACTGAGCAGAACTGTATGTACATGATAACCACATATTCACTGAGCCTGCTACACATATGTAGTGTGGGTGTTATGGCTCAGGTGTGGAGTGATAGACCATTTTATGACAAATCATACTCCCAATCATTTTTCCCTGCCCACTTGGGGAACCCGAATAATGTCTGCAGTGTTGTTGTGAGTTCTTGCTCTTGAAAGTGTTGGTTTTTTTGAACTCCCTTCTTCTCCTGATCTTCGGCTTTCTTCAACTCTATCCAATTCATCGGCTTGTTGTAATGAATCCAAATCTTGAATTTCTCCGGAATCGTCTTCGAGGTGGACAGTGGGATCCAAGTTTAGATTCGAGCCTGGTCGGTTTAACATAGAGTGAAGTTGGAAGTTCGAATTAACCTTTGTGGAAAAAGTTTTTGCAGCATCCTGGTGAGATTGAAGGCCACAGGTCTTCTTATTTGCAAGCGCCGGTTGGGTGCAAGACTGAGCCTGGCAAATACCTTCAAGGAGCGGCTCATGAAAACTACAGTATCGATTTCGAACTGTATCTAAAGTTCTTCGACATGGTCCGTCAGGTGCTGGGTGGCCGAAAGTTTTGGCCAGCATTTCCAGCTGAGATGCAGAAGCACTGCATCTCCAGTGCCCGATGGTTAAACCATCGGTCACAACAGCACGAACAACTAAAATGGGGAAAAAATCATACGTATCAGCTTCTTGTTTAGAGCAATTACTGGAAAGATCATTGTACCTAACCTGAGTGATTATTGTTCTCTTCAGAATATGTGATACACGTACAAAGACTGCATGAATGGTTTTTGTGTGCAGTCCCCTCCGCGGCTATCCAGGAGGTACATTCTTTCTTCGCTTCGTTGTAACGGACACGGTCTAGTCCGGAATCTGGGACCACGAGGACTTTACTCCTTGCAGAGTAATTGTACAACAACATATCAATTCCCATACCGTCTTTGCAAACTTCTTGTGACAGTCGAGGAAAGAAGGACTGCTGAGATGTGAACAAGGGAGGGGCGTGAGACCCCATGAAAGTTGAGTTGTACAAGTTCACGATGCTGAACACTGAACACCTAAAAGAAAAATCCAACCGAAATGAGGGTCAAGCGTTCGTTTTTAAGCTTAGACACAAATTAATCTTACCGTTGCAGCATTTGGCTCATCTTGAAATGATGCGCCAAGCGATGAGTCATGAAGTAATGTGTATGTACTTGAAAGACTTCAGAGTTCCTCCCTTCGGATGTCGTATAGAACGTTCGTTTTTCGTTGTAGATTGAATAGCTCACGTGATAACTGGTCCGGCATGCTGGAAGAGGATCAAGTATTACACGTCCGTCAGTCCTCGTGTCCCCATATTGATAATATTGTGCTTGCTTACGTTGACAGTATAGGTAAAAGTGTTCAATCGTATGGCATCCATCGACATCATATAGGTATCCAAACAATGACTTTGCTCGCATAGGTCGAGTCCTGGAGCACTTTGGGCATTGTTCGAAAGGGGGGTATAGAGTATGTTCCACTATGCGGATGGGCAGCCGACCATCAACAAGTTCGTTCATTATACCATGAGATTGGACATGGTATTGTGCGTTGATATAACATTCTTTCAATATGCTGAAAGAAGCCTCCCAGATGACCTCCATATGGTTATGGATGGATGAGGGAAGACTCGCCGCGAGGTATCGTATAGGCCTTCGGGTTGTACTGAGCTCAAGAGACTGCTCACACCGCACGACCACGTCGGCGGCGACACATATGAACTTGACAAAATCTTGCACCGTGAGTGTCGACAAGATGTTGTCGTCATACTCGTTAAGAATAGAGATGAGGTCTTTTAGATACATCGTTCGGTCTCTCAAAAATCAAGATGTCCTCCCTATGTCTTTCTTTGATTGTTGTTTAGACAACGTGATTATTTTATTTTCATGGACCATTGTTCTACTTGTTCTACTGAGGATGAAACGAAACAAACGACATCAATCGCAGCCACACTCCCGATTGGGAAGGTGCTCTTCGAGTTGCTCTCTGTACAATCTGTATGGACTTCCGCACTTTCCGCTTCCGCACCAAATTTTTCCGCGCCTCGCTCAGGCTCCAAATCTTTGGATAGATTAGAAGTTCCTTTCTTTTTTGAATTGTTATCAAGTCTTATCGCGTTAGAGAGAAAAGTGTTAGAGTGTGTTTTGGTTTTCTTTTTCTTTTTTTGTTATCGAGTGTTTTCTAGAATAGAAAGCAAAAGTAAGTGAGGTATAGGGTGTTAGGTTTACTTTCTGAATTCATCGTATTGATAGAGGAAGTCGCGAGTAAGAGAAATAGTCTTTTAAAAAGAAAAGACTTACCTTTATCGATTATAAGGGTTGTAGAAGAGTGTTATCAAAGATTTTGAAACCCTTACACTGGGAATTTTGGATTTTGGATTATTAATTTTTTATTTTTATTTTTTTTCTACTTATCTTACTTAGCTACCTTGGGGTTTTGTCCTAGGGTATTAAGGTAGTTTGGGCAGCTACACGTGCATACTGCTGGGTTTTGAAGCCACTAGGGTGTGTAGGGTATTGTCGGGATCTGTAGGAGTTGAAGATCAAGGTTTAATTATTTTTTTTACTTGCCGCAGGAAGTTTTTTTGGAGAACTGCATTGGGGAACATCGTAAAAAATAGCTTGTTTACATCTGTTTTTGAACTGTAGGACCTTTACGGAGATTTTTAAAAGCTGAACAAAGCTTGTAGATTGGATATTCAAGGTTGGAAAGCTTATTTGGGTGGTAGTAAGGTTTGAAGAGGTGTCTCATTGTAAATTTTGAGGGCAGCCTAACGGCGCTTTGGTTACGGCTCTTGGCGGTTTATCCTACTTGGGTTGTTTCTTCCCCTCGAGGCTCTGCCTACGCTCCACAGCGTAGGAGTTCTACAACGTGACGTGACCTGTGATGAGAAAGAGGAAATGTGATTAGTAGAGCAAGGGTTCCCGACCTCCTTGTAGGCCGAACGGATCGCACCATGCTTTCGAGTGAAACTTGTCTGGTGACCGGTTAATCAGGAACAACAAGTTTAAAAAAAAGATAATGAAAGGCACGAAGGCAGAAAAAAAAACCTAAGGTACAAATTTTTTTCACAATTTTTTTTTGGAGGCGGTCAAAAGATGTAAAAATTATGAGGATCTTTCTAAGTTTATAAAACCGCAAGCCACCTCTAGAGCTGGCTTGCGGTCTTATAATTATACATATAATTATAAGGAACTGTTGTAGTATTTAAAGCTCAACAAGAGCTTTACAACACCTAAGAAGGGATAATCTACTACGTGTAATATAGTAGAAGCTGCCTAAAGACTGCCTTCTTCAAAGAAACCAGCACAAGGGCACTTGCTGACCACTTTGTGATAACAGAGAAATAGATAAAGCACCAGAGAAAATAAAGCAATACTGTTGTGTAGTATTATTCCCAGATTTTAAGCGCAAAAAAGTCACACACTATGTTTATTACTAGCAATACTGTTGTAAGTATTATTCCCAATTTGACTTGTAGTCTTTAACACACGTAAATAAATTTTTCCTTGCTTTGAAGGGGCGGATTTAAGTGATCTTAGTACAAATATAGTAAATAAATGATGATTTATAACACTACAACAAAGGTATAAGATGCAGAAAAGGGCGCTACAATCCTAAAATCATCAAGGAGTACTTATATCCACATGTAACAATTTTTAAAACAGTCAACAGCTTCAAAAACCAGTCAAACCCGCCTAAATAACCCTAAAAACCATGTAATGACGCAATGTAATGATCTTGTTACTAATGTATGATGTAATTTTCACAGCCAAAAGTGATCAATGACGCAATAATATGATGTACAGCACTTCTTAAGATGAATACAGGTGTTTTTTTCCTTGTAAACTAGCTGAAACCCAATTTTTGAGATTACGAATTTTTTCAGATGTGCTCCAATTTTTGATTACTAAAGTGCATCTTGTAGCCCATGTGTTACTGATCATTTCTGAAACCTACATGACCTACTTCTGATGAGTGATGAGTAAGATATTGAGTTGTGAAGTTAAGGTTTTTGGTGTTACATGTTGACTTGTGACTGTAAATTCGAGATTCACACCAATTTCTTATTTCTCTTATAACTTTTTACATACACCTCCATTACTAATGATTCAAAGGTTGTACATTATGTAATCCACTCTTCTGCGTTGAATGAGCTATCTACCAACTTATTCTGACGTCATTTGACATATGTAATTAGCTGAAAACCTTCATTTTCGACGATTTTCACCTATTTTCTTCAATTTTCACAGCTGCTACTCTCTTTTTCTTGCTCATGTAATATGACATCATCTTCTATAACCTTAAAAATCCCGGAAAATCCTCTTGGCAACCTTAATTTCCACTACTACCACCATTACATATGTAAACTACACGCATAACCCTTGTTTACCAACTTCGAAAAAGTACCTTTCTGCTAATAACTTCTGTTTTCCCTTATCAACCTTGAAGATTAAAATTGTTACTGTATAGTAAACTGTTGTTCTTTCATATTCTAACCTCATAAAACCCATAACTTAATTATAAATAAGCTAAAAACCATTTTCCAACTTTTACACCTATATTTTCGAATTTTTCTTATCTTTTCTTTTTCTGTCTTTTTGTAATAACTTTGTAAGTAAACTATGTTGATCTTAATAATAATTTTCAAATAAGATGACATAATAATGAGCTAATAAGTATACATAAGCCTCTAAGAGCTTCAATTGATCTGAAAACCTGAATTTCGAATTCTCTGCTATATTGAAGTTTGCTAATAAATTGGTAAAGTGAAAGATGATTTAATTTTCTTGCTTGATATCATAAATAGATCACCACACCGTGCAAAATTGAAATTCGTATTTTGGGCTGTAAAGGGTCTACTTGAACCGCCCTAGTATTGGCTTCCATGGTGGATAAGTTGAGTTTTGTTTGAGTTTAACCCTCTTAGGCCCTGTTTGGTATGGCTTACAGCTTTTGTAAATAGATTAAAGATTAATAGATTATGCATTGCATAATCCATTATTTCATGAAGCCACTTTTCAAGTTTGAAATCCAATTTTCTAATTCAATTTCATCCCAAAAATCAATCGATGATGTTTGGTATGTACCATTCACCAAACTTGACTATTGATAATAATCTATCATCATCTTGATTCTTATTGTTCAATTTGATTTTGGACATTTAGAAATCAACTTGTCTCAGAGATTGCTCCATTGATGACTTGATAGAGTCATTGCATTGATAGGTTTATGAAATCGTGTGAATCCTTTCATTCAATCAATCACAGTCATTAGCAATGATCAATGTTGAGTTGCCCAAATTGAGGTTGAATTATGTGTGTAGTACAAATCAGAGTTGAATTGATGCTTATCAACAAAGTTTGAAGTTTCTCTTATAGACCGAGTTCTACACCACAAAGACACTTATTTGCGTCACGGCATTGGGCATGTCCCAAATTGGGGACACGACCCGACAGCCACTAACGGGGCGCTGGCTCGACGTCTGTATGCAAATATATCCGCGGTGCATCCTGAAGATGCTCTGGCGTCGTCCTTGCCAGGATGAGATTCGAGCACACTGTGCTCGGATCACCTACGGATGTCCAATCAATGGAACACCCTTACAGCAACCCTTAGACAACCGCTAGCAATCCAATATCTGTTGCCCTTGTGATGGAAGCAGGACAGCCACCAGCAGTCTCAAGACTGGGTGCCCACTTGGCACCACAGCAAAGGACCTTGATGAGGAGGCCAGTCAAATTTTAAAACTGATTTGGTCAAGTGACATCATCATTGCATGGTGACTTTGACACTTTGACCTGTACCAAAGCAATCTTCATCCTCCTTCATCTCTCACTTCCTTCTCGTTTCCGTCTTCCACTTTGATCTTGTTCGATCTACATCCCCTTCCGCCTTTCTTTTTCTTCAACTACATTCACACCTAATCCAATCTCCAAAGTCTTGATATGATTTTCAATCGCATTGGAACATCAACCTTTCCTTCACTCAATTCATTTTTCATAATAATTTCTGAATTCTGTTTAGTAAGTCTTTCAACTGATTGACAATAAACCAACTTTGAGGAAACTATTTCGAAACTTTTAATGTAGATGAATATGTTTCTTTCAAAGCTTCAATAGGCAAATGATAGACATGAATTCCAGAATGATCGATCGTAAGTCTTTTTCTATCTACAGCTGTTTCTTACTTTGGTATCGTTGTTAATGGAATTAGTTTGCTTTGAATTCCAAACAAGGTATGAAAGATCTTTATTCTTTCTTCTGGAGTTTTTGTACTTTGTTATTGATCAATTTACAGAACATGATGAATCCATCAAATTTTACGATTCAAGTCAATGATTGAGAAAAAGACAATTATTCTTATCAGCTTCAGTGATAGATATTATTGTTTTTATCATTTCATTGTTTTATTGTTTTTGTCATTTCATTGTTTTATGGTCTTTATCACTTCATTGTTTTATTTTTTTTATCACTTTATTGTTTTAACCTTTTATTGTTCATATCATTTCATCAATGTTGGGTTTTTGAACTACAAATCATTATTGTTATAACAGTGCTTTATAGGAAATTTAATCGCGCCGTTATTAATTAAAACAAATCTGAAATAAGTGAACTCAAAACCAACCCGTAGACATTTTCAGGACAATCTAGGAGATATCTAAAGCTGATCCGAAGCTCTATCAGTCATTTGTGTATCGGTGCTGCGTGCGCCCTCACAACAAACCTCGAGGGATGTCAGATGGTTGTCGATTCGCGCGCTCTGGGCAGCCCGATGGGCTCTGCTCAGGCGTCTGAACGTCGGAGTCCGGCAGATGTTTCTCGGTGTGCTGTGGGGGGACGTCCGTCCCCCACCAAGAAAAATCGGACACCCGGTGGACATCCAAGTGTCCTTGTGGTGTAGAGATGAAGGACACGGAAGCAAGTTGAGATGTACATAGAAGGGCCCCGGGTCGTAAGGCTTCCTCCAGGTTTATAATGGATTATTAAAACTTGAAAGCTGGTCTAGAGCAGCTTTCAAAATGATCAAAAATAATAGAATATTGACAGGAAAATGGCTTTTGAAAAGGGGGGCAAAGGAGGGCAAAAGCGATAACAAACGAGTTTTTTTGAAAAAGTGTAAAATGGATTATTTTCAAAAAATAATTCATTTCTCCCGTTTTTTGTAAGCTATACCAAACGGGGCCTTAAAGATCGATGATTTAGAGAAGATTTGGGAAGATTTGAATGTTTGAACTTTGCAATTTTTTCACAGACGACTGTGGTGGGTACAAAACAAAACTATAGTGGATGCTTTTATGCGTACATACTTGTCTTTCCACCTACAAATGGAGTCAACAGCTTGTGAGATACGAACGCTCGAATTCGCAGCAAAGAGATTGCTGCAATACATACACTTCAAGATGAAAAGGGGTTTAAACTTTGGCAAACGCACGACAAATCGCACAATTTCACAGATGTATTATGTATTACGTGCTCAAAGTATGGCTCTTCGACGGGTCTGCTCCGCCGTGAGAGAGCGTTTTCCTGCAAAACTCGAGCAAGTTGGCGCTGAACTTTGACAAGCTCTGTGCAATTTTCAAAAGCATCCTCAATTCAAATTGTGTGAAGCTATGTCTCGTAAGTGAATGCATCCTGAGTCCAGCACCCACGCCATTCAAATTTCCATTTCGATGTCATTTGATTAAAATAGTTTCTCAGTGACTTCGACTGCTCTAGTGTGTGTACAATATATATCGCCAGCTAATCATTTAAATTCGCAGTGCCTTCGAAGAGGGTCACTTGAACGCGTGTCAAGGTCAACAACATCGATTTAAGTATAAAGCGACGCCTCTTTAATCTCGATTCTCAGACTCCTTTCACCCCACCTCACCCTCTCTATATATCCTTTATCCTGGACTTGATTACATGCCAAGTACGAAATCGTTCACTTACGAAAATCCAAGAGCTGCACCAACCGTCCGAAATCGCGTAGAAATGCCTGTTGAACAGTCGATCTGTTCAGAAACTGATCTCAAATCACCTTTAGACTACGATGCCCACCAACATGATGCTTATGACGTGAAAGACTTTGAGCCAGAGAATGTGGGCCGGCTGATAGATTTTCTGCGACAAGTCGTCGATGAGACTGAGTGAGTCCGCAATACCCATCCCTTACCGCTCACCACACGCTATGATGATCACCCGACGACGAGAGCTAACTGTTCCTCGCCATTTCTACCTCAGTGAGATCATGGGAGACGATCCCAATTTTCCCAGTACTCTCTTGACTCGAGCTGCTGAAGCGTTGAAGCCAGATGTTACTCCACAGGAAGTACTTGAGATTGCGGCAGCTACTCGTGCAGATTTAAAGCTGGCGGAGGATAATTCCCCCTACCCTGAGGTAGGATCTTCGCTTTCGGCATGCGGCCTATCGCACCAGCTCATACTTCTAAACGTTGGCAGGTTCGAGCCTGTGTTGACGCTTTTGATGACCCTTCAACTCCGGTCATGACCTTTCGGTGAGTTTTGTATTCATTCTCACTGCTATATCGCAAGCTTATTAACCTCATCCACCTGCGACGAAAGAATGTGGTTTATCGGATTTATTACAGTGATATTGGGAACTGGACTCAATCAGTTCTTTATACCACGTCTGCCGAACATAACAATCAACACGACTGTAGCGCAGTTGCTCAGTTTTCCTCTGGGCAGTACGTCATGTTACGCCCTTCCGAAATGTAGGTGAACTTGAGAAGGCAGCATGCTGACTGGGTTTCTTCAGTGCTGATGGCAAGATTTTTACCAACCAAGGTCTTCCGTGTTGGGAATCGATCTTTTACCCTCAACCCGGGCCCTTTCAAGTACGTCATCTGCCACTACGCGCGCTACGGCAAGTTATGATGAGCTCATACGAGTTCCTTGTGCTTTCTTCCTTTCTTTGACCGATCAGTATGAAAGAACACATGTTGATTAGTATTGTGAGTCTCTCTAGATGCCACATCTACGTCGTCGAGCCATATATCTGACGATAGAACAATGCATCTTTGTTTTAGATGGCCAACGCATCTTTTGGTGGAGCCTATGTAAGTTTTCATATCCTGCTCGACCTCCAAGAAGAGGCAAGTTTATATACGCTAACGCGATCGCAATCAGGCGACCGATATCATCGCAGTCCTCAAAATTCCCAAATTCTATAATAATGTCTCTCTGGGGGGGAATCGCGCCTTTCAAATATCATTAGTTTTGAGTACGCAGCTCATGGGCTACACATTGGCTGGAACGTGCCGCTCGTAAGCGTTTTCTTATCCTATCATGTGACATGCGAGCCTGATGTATCCTCGGTATGGATGTTGTCATTAGCTTCTTGGTGTATCCACGTGCGATGGTAAGTCCATTATTAGAACATTCTTTTCACTCGATGACTGTTTCTGATGCTATGCCAATCAAGGTTTGGTGGCCAAACTTACTTCAAATCACTGTACTACGAGCTTTACATGGAAAGGATAACAGGCCACCTGTCAACGGGTGGAAGACGTCACAAATCCGATTCTTCCTTTTTTGTGGGGTAAGCCATTTGCACATCGTGATTGATGTAGTGCAGACTTCACTGATACTGACATCACCTGTTTACCATCAATATAGATTGGCTATGGAATTTGTTAGCTTATCTTTTGCTGACACATACTCTTGACATTGGCTGACTTTAATGCGTGTTGTGATCCTAGACTTCATCTTACCAGGAGTCTTTTTTCAGGCTCTCGCATTTTTCAAGTATGTATTCCATCTTGGCCATTGTATAATATCCAGTTTTTTGATTGCTCAATATCCACAGCTGGACAACCTGGATTGCACCGAGAAACGCCAAACTAGCTATGCTCACAGGTACACTCAGTGGCCTCGGCCTCAACCCGTTCCCCACGCTGGACTGGAACTTCTTGTATGGCGATCCTATTATCGTACCTTTGTGGGCTGTCGTGAGTATTTACACGGGAACTGTCAATATCGGAGAAAGCACTAAACTCTTATTCACGGATTGTAGTCAAATGTATATTTTGGCATGTTGTGCAGCGTGGTGGCGATTTGTGTGATATACTTTAACAATATACTTCACACATCGTATCTGCCAATCAATAGTTCTGGTGAGTATCACGAGTCTACCGTCCTGTTCCACGCCACTAACACGAAGTTTTCCAAATCCTCTTACCTCCATTGTTATCGTGTCTTTAGGGCTGTTTGATCGGAGAGGGTGAGTTAACATTTTCCTCGATTGTGCCGCTTCATGATCTGAGGTGAACCGTTCATTGACCATGTGTTTCTTTTTAGCCGTCCGTACAACACAAGTAGAATTCTCAATGAGTACGGAATCCTCGATCCGGTGAGGCTACTTTGGTTTTTGACTTTTGGTAGTCTTTCACTAAAGTCAATTATCAAATCGATTTCAGGCCAGATATAAAGCATACAGTGTACCTTATATGTCTGCCTCCACAATTGTAGCGTCAGTGTCTCCGGTCTGATACACCATCGCTTATGCTTGCTGGTCACCTAATTCTCAGTTTCGCGCTGACCTCACAATTCCATTTCAATATGCAGCTATACCGGCTTTTTTGCCATTTATAGTTCTACAGTGGTTCATTCCCTGATTCATTATCAAAGTCATGTCAAAAAAGCATTTCCTCATTTTTGGGAATCTTTGAGATGGAAGAAAAGTGGGGATAAGACCCGCAAATCAGCTAGGGACTTATTTCAATCAGATGTTCACTACCGGCTCATGCAAGCCTATCCAGAAGGTATGAACCCCATTATATCTCTCTGGGTGCGACTTTTGACACTCAAATTGACCTATGGGTTCTTGCAGTGCCCACATGGTGGTTCTTGGTCATTGGTGTCGTCTCGCTCACTCTTGCCATTTTTCTGATTGAGTATTAGTAAGTTTCGTCCCCTGTGTATAGTTGAGATTTTGCTGGTTGTTCTGACATGTCTTCCAATCATAGTGAGACGCAGATGCCAGTATGGGGAATCGTAAGTGTTGTAGACTGTTTGGCCAAACGTAACGTGTGCTCATGTGCCTTTTACAGTTTTTCGCACTTGCTTTAACTTGCGTATTCATCCTCCCTCTCGGAATGAGTAGGTGTCCTTCTGATTTCTTTCAATATGACAAACACTGATGCGATTGTTCAACTGCTGCAGTGGAAGCTATTGCCTCCATATCTGCACCTCTCAACGTATGTAATTTTTACCAATCTTTCTTCGTGGATTCAAACCATTGACCCAGCTTGTTTGTAGGTGTTAGCTGAGCTCGTCGGTGGGTATGCTTTACCTGGCCGGTATGTCAAATTTCATGCGCAATGAAACTCTCCATCGATTTGACCATCTAATTCAACTTTCCTCTATATCACTACTGCTTTCATACTGTGCAGACCCTTAGCCAATATGCTCTTCAAAAGTATGTCTCATTTGACACCCAATTCCTTGGCTGTACAAAAAACTAACTGACTGGACTTTGAAAGCGTATGGATACATCACAATGGCTCAATCCTTGAGTTATATCGGAGACATGAAGGTAAGTTACGCGATTCCTAGTCCTTTCGCCCTCATTATCATGACTGATGTCCTTCTTAATCATTAGCTCGCTCACTATGTCAAGGTCAGTTGGTACCACCCCTATGCGTTGATCACACTGGGGTCGCTCATGGAAATGTCTATCAGATTCCTCCGCGTACTTTATTCTTGGCCCAAACCCTAGCCACCATCTTATCCTCATTTACTGCTATCACTGGTATGTCTGTCTTAGTATGTTCCGCTATCTCAGAGCAACGTCAGCTCACTACATATAATTGCAAATTGTTAGTACTCGATTTACAGATTGATCACTTTCCGGATCTCTGCTCGCGAACTCAGCCACTCCATTTCGTGTGCCCTGGTGAGCTTTTTTCAATATATCATCATTTGTGTATCTTTACTCATATAGCACTTGCACTTTTCCTTAGATTACCATAGGTCAGTCTTTTGGGCGCAATCACACTGAGGTAGTTTAGCTGACCACATTTGTATATACGCGTTCCGGATTCAGATTCTATTCGGCGTGAGTAATCATGCTTGATCTTCTCTCGTACCCTGACTGACTTGATTCATGCGATTTTAGATCGATTCTCTGGGGGGCTGTTGGCCCAGCCCGACTGTTCTCTGCGGCACTATACCGATACTGTCTCATAGGATTCCTGTAAGTTGCGCCTTGAATTTCAGTCGCGTCAAGCCTGTCTTCAGTGTCTCATTGATACATCCATGTACTCCATCTAGCATTGGTGCCTTGTCGCCATTCATTCCTTGGTACGCTGGGAAGCGATGGCCTCGTTCAGGTTGGCGATTTGTGCACACTGTGAGTCTCGAGATCAATGCGGGTGAGGATGTCATATTGCATGACTTACGCTCAGCTTCACTCTCCGTAGCCTCTTATGATTGTCGGATCTTGGCAATTTGCGCCGAGGAATCTCGCCTATGTGACGTGAGTGCGGTAGTTTGTTATGAATCCGACTTGAAGCCTTACATCTCTTGCTTTGGGGGTCTATCCTGGTAGTCCAATGCTTTTACTTGCCCTCTTTTTCCAGGGATATGTCAAACGAAAGTATACCGCTTGGTATGGTACGTCGCTGAGATCATAATCAAACATGAAATATGTTGAATACATAATCGCCTTTGCTAATGGATTGCGCATTCTACAAAATAGAAAAGTACGCTTTGACCCTTACCGCCGGCCTTAGCGCTGGAATTGCCATCTTTGCCTTGATTTATTTCTTTGCTTTCCAGATGAACGGGCAAGAGTATGAATGGGTGAGTTCTTACTTCTTGAACTTTCTGCATGAATACACAAGAGTCAGCGGCCGATGAGTGTCTCTGAACATAAGCTTACCAATCGTTTGTGATCTGCGTAACAGTCTGGCAATACCATATTTCATACTGGATGCGATGGTGAGGCCTGCACTTTATTAGAAGTGCCGAAGGAGGGCTTTGGAATTCAAAGTTGGGAATAAATCTGTACACATGAGCTTCGTTATTTCTATATTTGTTGCTTGTGATTCTTGTGCCCTGAGGGTTCTTGTATGGCCTTGTTGCCTTTGCCCTCTGGGGTTCCTCTCGGTATTCTTCATGTTGTCAATTCTGCCTCCAATTTCTAGCACACCTGATGATATTTGTCTTCCGTTGCGCATGTTCCATTCTTTGTCGTTGTTGTCATGCTTCTGCCTCGCACCTACCCCTGCATATGAATTTGTCATCTTGAAATGTTTTGTTTGCTTGTTTGCTCTTCATAATAGTGTCGTTGCAAAATCTACGGGTTGCGCTTCCGAATCGTAGAATGACATCTCGTGACAGTGCGATTTGGTTATGTACATCAATCCAAACAAATCAAACACCTGGAATCTTTGCTTCCCCCTTAGATTGTGGAACAGTAAACAAGGGTAGACTGTAAGGTCAGCTTGGCCAAGAAAAATATCTCATAGAGGCACATGTCACCCCTGAACAAAGTCCCAATCTTGTTTGTTAAGTTTAAGGATTTTTAACCCATCTACGAGGAATTTGAGTAAGGAGGGTGCATTTTTGAAGCCAACAAGACTGGTTCTATGCCATGTTTCCAAAATTTCTGCTGCTACTACTGACACTGTTGATTTCACAAATTTTACGGTTAGTTCACAAAAGCGTGACCAAAGTTGCCCAAAAAACTCCAGCAAATCTATGAGGAATTCGTGACAAGCTTTTCTGAATTGACTGTACAATGCTTGCCAAATATGTTGCACCCATTTTCTAATTTTGTATGTCACCACCCTTTCATTGCCTATAATTTCCATGGGAGAAATCAGTAGGCCTGGTGGGATCTCACACACTATGAGTGTTGTAGTCACATGATCTTGTCATGACTGCGGCACAGACTATCTCATGTGCCAGTCTCAACAAAACCCAGATTGTGTTCAATTATGGGATTCCACATCAATTGTGGAATCTGATCTATATTTTGTTTCTTAAGCTTATGCATTTAACTTTCTTCTTGCTTTAATATATGTTATCAGCCTGTGTTACTGATCATAACAAGCAGCGGACCTGCAACTCAATACAAGAAGACAGGATTAGGCCATAAATCCATGGTCTCCTGCATTAAAACACAACCAACAAATGTGCAAAATAACACCTGAAGTGCTCCACTTTGATCTGCTTTTTGCTTTTGTCTTTCCTGGTGTTGTATGTATTTTCACATGATAGAAAGAACTTGCCTGTGATATTGCACAGAGCATGACAATTGTTCAACCCTTGTATTGATTGCCCTGGTTGAATGGGGCTGCGGATAACAGCTTTAGATTGGTCTGAAAGGCTATTGAAGGTCAATGAAAAGATGTGATAAATAAAAAGATTAGAGTGCACTTATTTGATCAGGACTGGGTGGAGGGTAAGGGTTGAAACCACAAGGTAATTGAAATGACATGATTTTGAACTCTTGAAATGTGAAAGCTTTGAACGTGAAGTTGCTTGGAAAGGATAATGCTTGATTGTGTAATTTTTTTTACAAAATTTATCAAGGTGGTTGGGCAGACAGAGGAGTTCTCCAATGGCCCCCTTTTATGAAGCAGAGACTGTGTTTTGACTTGGCCATACCACACTACCTTGCTGTCACTGTGGTCACTCAAATTCTCAGTTTAATTAGATTCAATTACATCAATTTGGTGTTAGAATTCTTATGTGTGCTACTTGACCATGTCACAACTCATCCATGACATCATATTTACATTTCATGTATTGACCACCTTTCAAATCTTTTGATTCATCCTTAACCTGAGCAGCTGATGGTTTGATTGATCCTCATCTCTTCAATCAAACCATCTCAGGTACATACCAAATTCCTATGAACTTGAGTCTATATTTGGTACTGACCATAATTGCAGGCCTCCGCTGACAATCACCTGGTTGCTTCAACCAGTCATGCACCACCACCACCCACTTTCACACCAATTGGAGCTGCAATGCCCATCAGGACCAACAAACAAGCTAGAGACAATGAAGATGATGGAGTTATTTTGGTTCCTCAAGACCCAAAAGCTCCACAACTAGAGCATGATCACACTGGAATCACTATTTCCACCCCACATAGATTTGTTCAGGATCCACTCTGCATGTGAGAAATGTTCGAAGTTGGCAAGTAACCTCTCTTTCACAATGTTGCGGTCAAAGCTTGTCAAAAAAGCCTTGCCAAATCTACAGAAACTGTAAAAGAACATATGTTCACACGAGATCCAACCACCCAAAACACTGTTTGGATCCAGATCCCCCAAGGCCTTCCCGCACTTTTTAAAATTATGAAACTCAAGACATCCGTACAATCACAAATGTGTTGCCCATTCTGCTGTGCTTTTTCATCCATTCAAGCACCTTTACCACTCAATCCTTCACCTGTTCCACTCTGCAATGTCCCATGATTTACTACAAAAGTGTCAACTACTCTACACCAATAACCTTGTCAATCTCCTCTCTATGAGAAATCATCAGGCTCTTCTTTTATCAGTCAATACATACTTGGCTTGGAAAGATGCTTCAGTATAACTACTTTGAAGAAGCCATCAATGCACACCTCAATTGTCAGCGACCTGGCCATGATAGAATGGATGATATATGGGATGGTACTTTGTGGAAAACCTTCATGAAAAACAGGTACATCTTCACATCAAGATCTGGTAACCTTGTATTTGGATTATGGTGTGATTGGTTCAATTGCGGTGGCAAGAATGCAGCAACCAAAACTTCAGTCAGGGTCATGCTCCTCACCTGTTTCAACCTCCCTCCAACAATACAATACAAAAGGAGAACATCTGCATCTATGGTATCATGCCAGGTCCATCTGAACCATCACTCTTGGAAATGAATCACTTTCTCAAACCGCTAGTCACTGAAATGTTGGTCTTCTGGGACAGCATTACCTTCACGTCAACATCAAAGCATCCTAAAGGGTGCACCCTCTGGGCTACACTATGGCCTATTCATGGCGACGTTCCAGCTATGAAAAAGGTCACCGGAGGGACTTCACACTCGTCCACATGTTTATGCTCTATCTGTCACATAGATTGGTCTCTCTACCACTCTCATTCTCCAGAACCAAAGGTTGAACTCCATACTTCTGAGGGAGTTAAGCAAGCTACCCTAGGGGAAGGATGGCCACATAAACAGACAAAGCCAAACTTACATTTTGCGGAACATATCGGCCACATCTCCACCCTTCTTGGGCCTCCAGCTTACACAACTAGCTGGTCAGGTGTGTGTATCATTGGAGCCCTTGTGCAGACCTCAAAGAATGGAAATCAAAGTGTGTTTCTTCCTCATTTGTACAAGTAGGATGTAGCAACTGACCTTGATGTTTTCAAGTAGAACAAGTGGGTGAGGCTTTGCTCAAGCAGCATTCAATGTGTGGATTCTTTCAAGCAATGATCCACAACAGCCATCCTGCCACTGAGGCCAACCCTATCATCAAAGAATACCTACAACAACATTGCCAAACCAAGTGGGCCACAAAAAAACTCAGTTCTCAAGCATTTGATGCCCTCCAGAAACTTGGCATTCTTTGGACAGATCCACCTTTGATATCACTACAAGCCTTGTCATATCTAACAAGTCACACAGTACATACAGAAAAACCCCGGGGAACAGCTACATCTCATACTTGTTGGACTCATTTCAAAGGTTTGGTACTATCACAGACATTGTCAAGCTCCCTGATGTCACCCAGCCTGTTTTAGTGGTGAGATCACTGAAGTTTTTATATGGCAAAGACAAGCACAAGGACCTGTATGCTTCCTTTCCAGGCTTTCTGATTGCATCAGTTATATATGATTTGCATGGGGATTATCATGTTGTACCATGTCACAAGGTGATTGACCAGCTTGTTGTACAAGATAATGCAGAAGATACATTTGATATTTCTGGGCCAACCCTTTCAGTAGTGCAGCTGAATGATCTGGTGAGTTCCCATGATCATCATCAGGTGAATGTTTCCTGTCCCATCTTTCAACTTTCCGAGGATTTGTGCAAGAACTTAATCTGGTAGATGACGCTATGGATATAAAATAACCATGAGTAGGAATTTTATTTTGATGTAGCCTCAATGTAGAAGTTCCCCTTTCCACTTGTTCTTGGTTCTAAAACTTCTCATTCATTTATTGTCTCCAAGAATCCAAGAGTCTCATGCATGACCTGTGTTGGCTTCAAGCGGTTCATCAATTTTGTTTGTGATTATGTACACAAAACACATCACAATAATGATGGGAAGCTGTCAATATTTTACAAAGTAACAGACAAGGAAACACTTGTATCATTTTTGGTCTTGAGCTTTTGTTTTAACAACTCTGTTCATTAGAATTATTAAGAATCATGAGGCCTGGATTCCATCAAGCTACACTGCTGTTACATGGTTTGTAATTGAGTTGGAAATATGAGTCCATAAAATGTGAATGGAGATCATGAAAAGATACCTGATATCTTCAAACTTTGCTGCATAGGAAGTTCTGAGAATGCAATATACCATCCTGAGCAATTAAAAAGAAGCTGTCGGAAAATTTTGGAAGATAAATTTTCCTCTGCAGCTGTACTACTGAACCATATCCCCCACTCAAACTGATCTTGAGGTCAATTTGATATTGAATTGGGATTGAATTGAGATTGAATTGAGATCATCTTGACAACCCTGGGCCAGCTGCGCAATGGGCCGCAACAGGCCGCAACAGGCCTTTTTTTGGCTCGCTCGGCAAAGCGGTGCGAAAAAAAACACTACATGATTCTCACATCTCAGTTGCAGAGCTGGATACACGCTCCGCAACAGCATCACATGCACCAAAAAAACAAACAAAGAAATTGAATTCATTATCACAATATTCCAAGCTTCTTCAGTTCGTTACCAGTCAACCAAGAGCTACCAATGAAAAAAACATTGTATTTATTTAAAGCTTGATGTAATTAAATTTTATCTAAGACTATATCAATCCAAATTCACACCCAAACT